CCAACAAGCTACCCAATGATCGTTCTTGACAAACAATGGTGCATATATATCATCAATCTCCAACGCCCATGTCTTATCTGATCTGCAGTACGCTGGTTCCTCACCTGTGTAGTAGTCTAAGGCCCCAGGAGGGAGTAGTGTACCTGACCTGTCAGGATTGGCAGGAGAGTCAAGAAACTCCGAGTACTTTGCTGTCCACATTTGAGTAAATACAGCATCGAGCATGCAAATTCTATCCGACCTAAACCATTCTGGGTGCTTTGTGTATCGGAGTCTCAAAAGATTAATTCCAGCATCCATGTGCTGCATTTACAAAATTAGAGACTTATACATCAGAGAGAAATATACATGCAAGAGAAATCTACATCGAAAGGAAGACTACATACCGTGTCATTCAACCATTGTCTAGCAGTTATTAGTGTGTAGTACCAAAAACTTGAAGAACCTCTCACCTTCTGTCGCCAATTTCTGTCAATAATCATAGTAGATAAATGAAACACTACCAAATCCTTTATATGAAGATCATTTATATAAAGGTTGGATGACTTACGGGTCAAGTTTCAGCCAATCAATAAGGGTAGAGAGCTTTTTCTTATCAGGACCAGCAAAAGGGTTATATCCCTGGCCTCGCTTCGGCTGGTTAGGTATGATAACCTTTGACGTACTGTTTCCAGCAAAAGGAGATTGCTGAGTAGCAGCAAGCCTCCGTTGCCTCTCACTCTTAGCACATGCCACAATGCGAGCAGCTTTAAGTTTAGCAACTTGTTTCAGTTTTTTCACAGACCCATAATTGATGTGTGATTCTTCTCTGTCTACTACAACAACACTTACACTTTCATTCTCACTGTCACTCTGCATTTGTTTTAAGTAAGAACAAATTAATAACAGCCAATGTTCCAAAATAAAATCCAAACAGCAAATATACAAGGTTCCAAAATAAAATCCAAACAGCAAATAAAGAAGGTTCCAAAATAAAATCCAAACCAAACAGCAAATATTCAAGGTTCCAAAATAAATTTCAAAGCAAACATCAAACATTCCAAGGTTCCAAAATAAAATTCAAACCAAACATCAAACATTAATTTCTTTTCCAGATTTTTTGCCTCTTTGGGGTCTTTGTTTAAGGGAAGATTTTTTGTTACTAACCCCAGCATTCTCCTTAGCTTTGGCCGACTTAGCTTTGGCCGCTGCAGCTTTGGCCGTTGCAGCTTTGGCCCCCTTACCTTTGGCCGTTGCAGCTCTATTTGCCTTAGCTTTGTCTTCCTTTGTTTTGGCCGCCTTAGCTTTCTCTGCATGTGCTTTGTCCTCCCCAGCACTATCCTCCTCAGCATTGTTCTCTTCAGCAATGTCCTCAACATTGTCCTCTTCTTCCTCCCCTTGTTCCTCCTCTTTTTCCTCCTCTTTTTCCTTGGCATTATCCTCTTCCTCTTTATCCTTAGGAGCATCTTTTCCACGCACAATATTCTCAACAGCTACAACCTTACTGGTGAGGATCTCAATCATCTCGGATTGTCTACTCATCGTGCTCTCACATCTGTTCAGCCCCTCAACCAGCTTAGAGGTCATGCCAGTGAGCCAGAGTTCTATCTCAACTTTCATAGCCTGCCAATCCAGACCAGGGGACTCACGAGCCTTCTTGTGTGAACCTTCATCTTCATCGGACTGAATGGTACAAGGGGACTCACGGGACTTCTTCTTGCCTGCCTTTTTATCAGTCACCACGTGACCACCCTCTGTCTTCACTAGGGGGTACTCAACCTTGACATTTGTCCACACCTTTATTCCAACAGGAGGCCGGTGAGTTTTTTCCCACTTCACTTTTCCATCAAACATCGCCTTCACTATGTTATCAGCCCTTACATCTTCAACTTCACCATCCCAGATAACAAAGTTGTTAATACGACACTGCAGAAAATAAAATTTTAAGGTTAGTATCAAATCACATTCAATAAAAAGATGTTTATAATGAATAAGAACCATACATGTCTCTGAATATTCTCTTTGACATTTTCCGTCCTTTGCTACCTTTGTATGCAAGCAGAGGTGGAGACGGTTTAGGTTCTAAAGGTGATCCATACACTGCTCCGTATTCAGGGAGAGCTTCATACACCCACACTTGAAGGACCTGAACAAATCCTTCAATATGATACCCCTTTGTGATGTCTTTCTCCTTCACCGACTGCATCAAAGCTTTAAAAGCAAATCTTCCCCAAGGATAATCTTCAAAAGCTTCTAGATCCATAACTAACCTAGCAAGGCTAGCAGTTGTGGGTGACGAGGTTCTTGGTGCTTGTATAAATCCAGAAAAGATAGCTAAATACCCCAAACGCAGTCGATCCTCTAGGGACCATGATCCACACAACTCACATGCTGCAGTTAATTCTTCAACACTTGGTCCCCGCTCGATATTCACTCCTAACTTCTGCCAAAATGCTCTCATTTCATCTGTTACCTCAACAGCCGGATTCTCTAGATCCGCCACATACTCACAATTCAAACCAATGATGCTTTCAAATTCATTCAAAGAGAATCTCACTGGGTTAACGCCTACACGACTCCACAACTCAAACTTCTTCTTGCACTCAAGCTGAAGAGATAGCATATAGTGCACCAGCCTTGAAGTCCATCCAAATTGCATTTCATGGAACTTTAAGAACACTCCCAACCTCGAGTTTTTGAGCTCATCCCGTTCATCTGGCTGGAGGGCTTCTCTAAGAGCATGAAAGAGCTTGCTGTCATCAGAGTAGTGGCCAATGCTTCTTACTAGGTATGGTTCCTGCCCTTGTGTATACAACCTCGGTGGAAATTCAAGTTCACTCATTCTGAAACCTGAAAACGAAAACATTCTCAGTTAAAGCTTAAATCTCAAACAAGCAAAGAAGTAAAAACAAAGTTAAGAAGCAAAAACGAAGTAAAGAAGTAAAAACGAAGTCTACAATTTAACTTAGATGTCTACACGGGAAGTTTAAAATTCAACTTAGTAGTCTATGGGATATGTCTACATTTCAAACTGTACTTCTGCATATGAAGTCTACAATACAAACTTAGAAGTCTACAATTTAAAGTAGAATTCTACAATCGGAATTAGAAGTCTACGATAGATCTGGAACAAGAATACAGTAGAAAGTTAATTAACCAAACTAAGAGGGAGTTTTACCGTTTGTTCGCCGGAGAGATGAAGCCTTACTTCGTCGAAAACCGTGAGACTCGCCGAAAGTACAAAGCTTGTTGAAATAAGAACCACGGATCGTTCATCGTTGAGAGAAAGCAAGACCGTGGTTCGTACGCCGCTCAGATCTGAAACAGTAAGGGTGAAGGAGATTAGTATCTTCCAACGTTGACGAAGGAGAAAACGAAGATAAAACCTTACCATAGTGAATATAAAGAGCGACGAAGTGGACGGTAACGAGATTGACCAGTAAAAATGAGGTGGAGTAGGTTCGCCGGAAAACTCGCCGGAAATCGCCTCTAATTTCGCCTCCGATGTTAACGGCGTGGTTAGGTGTTTTTTACTAGAAAACCCTAGATTTAGTATTTATATCCTGGGTAATTTTTCTGGTTTGGTTAAAAATTAGTCTTGGTTAAATCTGGTTAGTTATGTAGACTTCTATGTACGTCTACAACGCGTAAATTTCCGGTTAGGTTAAAATGGATTGGTTCAAAATATTGCTTAAATATGGTTTGGTTAAAAGTTAGTCTTGGTTAAATCTGGTTAGTTATGTAGACTTTTATGTACGTCTACCACGATATTGTTTTACTGATTTTTTTTTGAATATTAGTTTTAATATATGATTTACTTTTTTTATTGTTTTGGACCCTTGTTATTTTGATTTTTATAATATATTGTTTCACATTTTATAAGTTAAGAACTATTATTATTTTGAAATAGTTATTTCCAAATAATAGTAGACTCCAAAGAACGTCTACTTACAATAAGTAGACATTATTGTAAGTCTATCATACTCTAAACCACAAATTCCAAACCCCAAAAATTTCTTCTTAATCAATAAGTCTCAAATATTATATCAAATGTCAAGATATACAAAATATAAACTACTCAACATTAATATGTAAATTTAAGTCAATAGTAACAATACAAAATCTAAATACAAAATCTAGCCCTAAGAATCTAACCCAAAAATACATCACATGGTAGAATATCTTTTGCTAAACCATAAACATTTTGCAACACATAGTTACCTAATCAAAAATTATTCTTTAAAAATGTTTAATTATATGAAATTTTAATTTTTATACTTCATATTGCTTCTTATATTGATGACCTAAAAGAAATTTCACACAATATATTTTTATACATTTTTAAAATAAAAGTATAAGATTAAATGATAATGTAGACTTCTCATTAAGTCTATAATGTAGACTTCACTCTATAAAATGTAGACTTCATAAGGACAAAACTGTAAAATTGCATTCCGTTTTTTTGTTAAATCATAAGGGGTAAACATACATTTTACTACTCCTTTAGGTTGGTTTTGCATTTGATTGAAATTGGGGGTACACTTTTACATTTGTTTTGAAATTTTAGGTTGGTTTTAGCAAATGTCCCAAGAATATAAGTCTATATTTAATTATTTTTGATAAAATATTTAAATATATTTTGGTCATTTTTATTTTTAAGATCTATATTTGTGATAAAAAAATTTAGATATATCCTAGAATATTATTTCTTTTTGAATTAACTAAAATAAAAAAAAGAAGAAACAATTATTAGGTAAACAAGTAATTGCTTCGAATTGGCGTGTATATTATTATAAAGAAATATATCATTATTTATTATTATGGTGCACAAAAAATATCATTATTATTAAGGAGACAGGCAAATTGACCAAAGAATATAAAAGTCAAATGAAGGAAGAGGCTTTTTGCCTTTTATTTATTTATAAGAAAAAGACATATGAAGGCCATCATATCCTTTAAATCTTATACAACCAATCCATCATCCATTCTATATATATACAGTCGCTTGCTTGTTCCATTTCACAGCCAATTGGTAGTTGTTTACATATTATAGATGGAGATGAGGTTCTTGTTCCGTGCCTTGACTTTGGTGTTCATGGTGGCTTTGGGAGAAGCAGTTGGTGATAGAATGAGATGGACCAGAAAGGAGATGGTGGAGATAGCTGGCTACGGCGAACTCAAACTTTCCTCCGTCATCCTCACCGCCTCTCTCCTCTCTTCCTCCTCCGACCCTATTTCTGGTACATATTGAAAACTACTTCATGTCCGTTATATAGTATACTAATGGATCTCTAACACATCGTCATGCAGGTGCTACCGTTGGCATCATGTGCCATACTGGACATAGGAGGAGATCCAAAGTGATCAAAGCTGTCACAAATGAGTTTGGGCAATTCACCATCGATCTTCCTTCTCACCTACATGCAATTCCTGACCTAGGCAAGGCGTGTTCCATCAAACCACTCTCTGTTCCTAAACCATATCGATGCTCTCCCAAGATTCACAGAGGTATCAAACTCGTTTCTTCCTCTAACGGCTTGCGCTTCTATACAGCAGGCAACATCACCTTACACTGAGTACCATGTTAATAGATATTTTAATCTTGTCTTTAATTTTTCTTACATGATTCCTTCTCACTTCTTGTGAGATAGAGAAACAGTCTTTGTATATAATCTATTCGTATTTTCTGTAATCTATTTAGAGAATGGGTAAAATTTTATTTCTTTTCTTTTTGGATATCTAATGATATCTTCTCTCTTTTCTTGTAACGTTTAATAAGTTTGTATCTTTCCGAATATTTGTTCCAAGCAGTGTTAAAAAAAAAAAAAATGATAGGTGCAGTTAATGTTTGCTTCATACTCGGATCTTTTTGCTACTACAGATAACAGTTTGTGCTCCCTTATTTTATTTTAATTTTGTGTTGTGTTGAGAAGACTCTTGTGCTCCCTTATTTTATTTTAATTTTGTGTTGAGAAGACTCTGATTTAGTTTTAGATTCTCATGGAAATTTGCTAACAACTCATCTAAGTGCTAGGACAAGTTGTGTTTCAAAATCTATAAACACATGGTTTACAATCCAAACAATATAACACACACACGTTTCTTCTTTAATTGAAACTTTACTTCCACACCCACCAAACATTCCATATGTACACCTGAATAAAGACCATATTCTTTAATTATCTTCATTCCCAAGATTCTTCTTCTTCCTCTACTTGACAGGATCTTCAACGTGAATTGTGTACACGGCTGCACACATACCATAGTAGACGTATAAATATCAACTTTATTGAAGTTAATATAAAGCCACGACATCGAAAAACATAGTAATATAGTAATAAACTTGTGTCAATACTTATCGCCAATTTATTTTTTTATTTTTTGTTGAAAGCACAATAAATTTAAAATCAAGTGATTGTAAGTGTATTGACCCAGATCTCTTAAGTATTTATGTCTCATTGAAACTACTAACTGAGAGTTTTATATTCTCACGTATATTTTTCAAAGACAAAAAAGAAAAGAGAGAAATGATAACCAAACCTTCTAGGTAAGTTTGCTTTTCTACATTGTTTCGGCTCTTCATTCAACATGCCCAATGCGTTTTCCTTCTCTCTGACCGCAGCTTCCCTCTTTGCCTTCTTTGTCTCCACTTCAATGGCTTTCGTCAATGCATCCACTTTCTTCAACAACATCTGAGTCCAGATCCATGTTAACTTGTTAAGCAAGATTTCATATACTTGAAGAGATGAAACAACAAGAAAAAGAATGCAGTTCACCTTGATTTCTTCATTTTTAGCACTTATGGTACCCTCTTTACTCTCACAGATCTTCCTCAGAGCAATCACTTCCTTCTGAAGCCTGTCATACAAGAACCCTGAAACCACATCTTCTTCCTTAGCTTTACTTATGCTATCTTCCTCATGCTGATCAGTTAATCCGTTTGCTGAAATCTTTGAGTTCTCTTTTCCATCAGTTTCTTCAACTCTGTTGATGGGCTGATTCAGAGCATGGATTCTTCCTGTAACTGCGCCACGTGGCTGAGAAGTAGACCTTTTCTTAGATCCACCACCACCACTCGTCAAGAATCCTAAAATCTTGCCAGATTTTTCAGTCTTTGTAGTTGTTGGAGAGAAAGAAAACGTGTTTGGACCCTTCAAGCCATCTTCTATTGTTTTCAACCTCAGCTTCAACCTCTCCTGTATAGATTAGGCATTAGAAACTACACTTTCTTGCAACATAAGATTTTAGAAATATAATCAACTACCTTTAGCTGTGACTCAGCTTTAGCTGTTCTCTCTGAAACAGCTAGTTTATCTTTCAGTTTCTGCATTTCTCCCTGGACACAAATTTCACAAAAACAATACTCAGTTTTTACACAAACCAGTCAATGTGTAAGTGAAGAGTAGTTACATGGAGAAGCCTTCTCTCTTCAAGCCATTGCTTTACAGGCATTACTCTATCATTCTCATCTTTCCACTCGTTAGCAACTGCAAGAGCCACTCTACTTGCTGATACTTTGACTCTGGCCAGCTCTCTCTCCAATGTTCTTTTCTCTTCCTGTTGATGTTGAAACTAATCTTGTGAGTTTCTTGAAAAACAAATGTGAGAATTTGAATACAAGGATACTTGCATTGAGCTGAGAGATTTGGCGGCGATAGTCTCTAACTGCATTTGCAGCTGTTCCTCCTGCTAAGATTGCTTCCTCCAACTCTCTAATTGTTTGAGAGAGCTTCTCAATCTCCAACACTTTCTGGCGGTTTATCTTCTCAAGAAACTTGTACTCTTCCTACAAAGTTTTCTTGCTTTTATAGCCACAGGTTTCTATGAAATGCTCAATTTGTATTACTAGAGGGTTACCTGGCAGATCTCAATCTGTCTTCTAAGTTCAAAGTTGTGGTTCTGAACCTCCTCAACAATCAAAGCACGTTCGAGTGCACTTTTCAAAATTCTCTCTGCTTCAAGAAGCGCTGATTCTTTTGATTTTGTTAGCCGTTCCAATGCTTTCTTGTCTTCTTGAAGTGCAGAGATCTGTGACAAGAAAACTATAGTCAAGACATGAAGCTTGTAAGTACAAGAAGAGAGATGGGAACAAGTTTGAAATCAAGACCTGGTGCTTTTGAAACTTGATCTGAGCTTCAAGAGGAGCTATAACGGATTCGAGGGGTAGAGAATCATCTTCCTGTTGGTGAGTGTAAACCCTCCTCAGTGCTTCTTCTGCAGAGTCCTGTGCTGCTAATGCATCTTCCTTCTCTTCTTCTAGCTTCTTCATCTCCATCTCCTGCTCTTCCATAACAAACCCTTAACTTAGTTTTCTTTCATTTCTTAATATTTTGACATGAGTTACAGAGATTATAGTCATTGAGGGAAAACGCACCTTTTGTTCAACAAGATTCTTAGAGACTTCAAGCCTCTCCTCCAAATTTCTCATGTTTTCTCTAAGCTGAAACGAAACCAAGTAGTATCATCAGAGCTCAAGAGATATGCTGAATATGAAGAACATAATATTGATCCGAAAAGCTTGTAGGTAAGACAGAGTAGAACAGCTATAAAGCTTTTGGAGGATCATTATCAACATAGATGATGATCATACAAAAATGGGACTGATCATGTTTCATGCTAACATACCTCCTCAAATGCTCTGTTTTTGAGCTCCTCATTTGTTCTCAAAGCCTCAATTTCAGCTTTAGCAGCCAAAAGCTCCTTGTCCTTTTCTGTAAAAATAGCACATCTCTCAAATATTAAAGCAAGTACTCAGAAGGACTTCTGAATAAAAACTATAGAAGAGAATAAGAACCTTTAAGTTGGTTTTGCAGAGAAGAGGTGTTTGATGCAAAAGGGTTTTCTCCTGCAGTCATTTTTACTTTCAAAGGCTCCTCCTTCTTTCTTTGCAGTATAGATATGAGTTATGGTCTAAGCAATTTAAGGAATGATACAGAAGAGTTTAATATATATATATATATACACACAAACTTTTATAGAGAGAGAGAAAGAGACCATTCCTTAAAGGAATTGACGTTTAAAGAGAGAGAGTTAAACTTACTTACTTTCATTTCCCCCTTCTCAAGCAACTGTCTCTGTTTCAAGCCATTGACAGTAACCAACCCTTCCCTCTACTTATCTCTCTTTTTCACTACCCATTTCATTTCATGAAATTTCAATTCTAAAATGCTTTCAAGTTTACTTTTTATTTGACTATCTCTCTCAGTTACATAGATTTTTATCACTATGATTTACATTGTCATGTAAATGAAAGGTTATAAGTTACTGTCCTTTAGATTTTGTTCATCATCAAAGTTACCGGCTAGGGCATATTTTTCATGTTCCAAACGTTAACTAATGGGTTTTATTTTATCTAAAGGAACACCGTGTGGAATAAAATAAAATAAAATAAAATTTAATTAATTAAAGACAAGATATGGTTTGCCTCAAATGGATGTTTATAAATAAAAATAAATGTGCAAAGCAAGAGAAGCAGAGAATAATCCAAAAGAAGTTGGAAGGAGAAGCAGCACATGACAGATATAAAGACACTAATCATAAGGATAAAGATAATTAAAATGATTGAAGTATTTCGTTTGGTGAAACACCTTTCTTTCTTTCTGTTTTTTTTTTATAATTTAAAAACCATATTCCCTTGTATCCTTTTGTCTTTATTAGTTTGATATGGTTATGAATGTAGGTAACAATAGATAACAATTATGATAAATTTTGAACGAGAAGTAATATATTATCCAAGTGAGTTTTTAGTTTAATTACTTGAAAGAATGAGATGGGTTGAAACTTGGAAGAAGGAAAGCAAAAGGTTGAAGAGGTGTTGCCTCAGTAATTAATAGCTTGACCGCAAAATATTGCACAAACCAAGGTTTCTTTGTATTAGTGGAAGTCACTCAATATCTCTCTTTGAATTAATAAAAAGGATTTTTAAATCCCTTCCGTTCTTTGCTTCCAAGTCTTATGGTTTAGTTATTAACTTATTGAATGAAACAATGATAAGAGGATTATTAGACAAACAACACTTAGCAAGAACTAAATGTATTAGTTATTATGACAGTTAAAGGCAGCTTCAACCTTATAAAAGTAAAAGAATAAAAATGGAGGTTATGACCTGTACTTTGTTCAACCATTGGTTTTGTGGGTTGGTGAACTCTTTTTAAGGCTTATCAGACAGAACAGAACCCAATCTGACCTGTAGATTTTGCCTTGAATTTTTTAATTCACAACCTTTTGGTTCAGCCGCAAGTTGACTCATTGTTACATAAGATTATAGAACAAGGACTTAGTTAATGCTTTTGTTATATTTCATGAGTAGCACCCGCACCAACAGCAAATACAAGAGAAAAAATAACTACCACCAGGTTTGGTTTGTATACATATATGATATATATAACTAGTTAGCTTTTATATAAAATTTCTGTTACAACTTTAAAAACATCATTGCAAATCCTCAAAATTTACAGGCGACAGATGTGTGTTTGTATTGTGCCATGTCCTATGCAATCTGGTTTGGGTTTGGCTTCCAAGCAGAACATGTAGCCATGGGTCTCCTCTTCCAGAAAAGATAGAGTGCTCCTTCATTCCCACCTAGTTTATAGTTCTTGTCATAACCTCTAAGCATCTCACTCGCTGCAAACGCTGCGGATGAGCTGACCGGCCAGCACATGAACTCAGCCATCATCATTCTGACCCTCCACTTCCCTAACACCTTGTGTCTCTCCACTCTCTCCGCCTCCTCGCATGCTATCATGTTCACTATGTCTCTCGCCACGCAGTGTTGCTCCGCGCTGATCCTCTGCTTATCATCCCGTGGCTGAGCTGCATCTATCGACCCAAACATCGCTGTGTAGTAATCAAGCGTCTCTACAAACCGCGACAGGAAAGGAGAGGTGTTTGTGTTGGACTCTTGCTCCACTAACGTCACGAGTTTCGGTGATAAGCTCTTGATCAGATGAAGCAGCCTGTCTCTGTGATTCTCAACACTCACACTCTCATCAGGCATGTGGTGCAACACGTAAGGGAAGTTCACAACGACTGCAAAGCCAGGCTCCACCCCTAGGTGTTCCCGCTGCATGAATGCATCGTGAAACTCAAACGGGACGCCACATGACTGCGCAGTGCTTGCGAGCTTCTCACCTACTAAGCTGAGTCCTCCCCCACGGGCATAGTTGGACTGTGAATCATCCACGCCTGTGACATGTAACAACGGCGGTCCACCAGGGCGTTTGGCAAGCTCCTGGATGAGAGACATGTACTGTGATCCCTGTGCAATCTGGAAATCTATAATGTGGACTCTCTTTTCCCCAGCCACTACTTCTAAGATGGCAGCATTTGCAGCTGTGTATGCGAACTTCCAGTAAGGGCAGATCTCATAGAGAACACCCATGTAAGACATCAGTTCTCTACCCGTTGGTTCATTGCACTTCAAGGCTCTGTATATATTTCTCCCAGATCCCTTAAGCCTTGCACTACAAGAAAACTCGTCCTTTACAAGGATGGTTTTTCCTCGTTATTTCCTAGTAAATGACCATTTACTAGGAACTTACGAGGAAACGCGTTTTGTCGAAACACGTTCATCGTATAGCCTTTTTCCTCATAAGGTCCTAGCTAATTTACGAGGAAATTTTTCCTCGTAAACGCGTGGATACGCTTTTCCTCGTAAGGTCCTCGTACAGGTTTCTTCGTAAAGTCATAGTAACACATTTCTTTAATGATTTACGAGGACCTTACTAGTAAAATGTACGAGAACTTTACTTCGAAAATATTACGAGGATTTTACTTCGAAACCTTTTTTTCCCTATTAAAAAAATATTAATTATAAATATTAAAAAAACAAATTATAAATAAAAAAGAAATAACTAAATATTTTATAAATAACTAAATAATATACAATTAATTTTCAAAATTCATAAAAAAAAAATTTAAAATTCATAATATACAATAAAAAAAACTACGGATGCTGGTCGTTAAATTGCCGAACGAAGTCGTCCCGGCTCGCCAACTCCTCCTCGGCAAGGTTGATTGTCGGCTGTGACTGTGATGGTGGATGTTGTTGGGTTGGAAGCCCTCCGCTTTCCCGTCTCACACGCAAACGCCAATTGCGGGTTTCCAACCGCCAAAATGTCCAAGACATCGGTGAGAGAACTCACATGATCGGTGAGCGAACTCACATGAGACTGCATCGCCTGCAACTCCGAGCGCAGCTGAGCATTGACGTCGTGTTGTTCCTGAGCATAGGACGATCTCGCTGTGGGGACATCGTTAACGGTGCCAATCCCGATGATACGCCCCTTTTTCCTATGGACGACCTGTAAATAAAAAGATTAATAATGTTAAAAAAAATTAATAATAAAAATTAATAGAAAAACAAATTATTTACCTCCTCGTAAATCTAATCCACTTCAAGAGTGGATAATATGACTGGTATCCCAGTCTGCTGAGTCAGCTGGGTCTGGCGTTCGTCAACCCGGGCAACAACCTCGTTGTAGATTCGCTCGGATCTAGGATCTACAAGCTGTCCAGCCTTGTTCCGGTGGGTCTCTCGTAAAGCTCTTTCAGAGATGGAAGAACTCCTCTCTCTTTAGCCTAAAAATAATTTTTAAAATTAAATATTAATTTGGAATATTCAAATAGAGTAAAAATTAAATAGTTATTAAAAATCATCTTACCATGTATAGACGAACTCCCTCGTGAGGTTTTCGACCGGTGGTGTGAAGCATCTTCGTGTTGCCATGCTCGTCTCGTGTCATGCGGTTCTCGGAGTTTGTGTGGGAGGTTCTGACCGAGTCCGGCAACCCCCAATATCTGATGAGGCCATCCCACAAGTCGAATGTGAGGCAATCGGGTTTCCCCTCCTCGTAACCATCCACCTGAACAAAAAATAATTAGAATTAAAGTCAATAAATGATTTAAAACTATATATATATAATTTATAAATCCACACCTGAAAGTCGCCCTTCCAGTTGTAGACCATGTCGAGCAATCGTGCTCTTGCCTTCGCCTCAAACTCCGTCTTCACCCGTAGGCGGCAATATTTTCTCCAAGTTGCAGATTAAGATGGGGATGTTTTCATGAAGTTGTTGGAAAACTTCCACTTTAAGAGTGCGGGTGCTCAGATCCCTAAAAAATGCTACAATTCCTTATATATTACAAAAATAAAAATTATCCACATTAGTATATATATATGTAAAGAAATAAATTAATCATATCATCGTATTATATTAGTTAATTAATTACCTGAAAGTGCTTCATGTACTTTTGCCGGTAGTAGCTCCGCAAATGCAAAGGGAAGTAGTCGCTGAATAAAGACATGACAATCAATATTGTGTCCACAATGTTCTCAAAAAAGTTCTTCTCTATATGCATCACATCGAGGTTGTGGCGCAAAAGAAGATCTTTCCAATATGGCAATTCCCAAAATATACTCTTTTTGTGTCAATTGTGTTGAACACCATAAGAATCATGCATATTACTGGGAACATGCCAATTCCCACCACGAGGAGCTGTTTCTAGAGCACCGTAGTAATCGATTTGCGCTTCGATTTGTTCTCCAGTTAAATATGGAGGAGGAGTGTCTCTGACAACCCTTTTGTGCCTGAACAATTTATTGTTTCTTCTGTATGGGTGGTAAACGGGAAGAAATCGACGGTGACAATCGAACCAACTAGTCTTCCTACCATGCTTCAACTGAAACGCATCTGTCATTCCATTACAATATGGACAAGCTAATCTCCCATGTGTAGTCCACCCAGACAACATCCAATATGCAGGAAAGTCACTTATGGTCCACAAAAGCATCGCTCGCATCGTAAAGTTTGTTTTCGTTGAACAATCATATGTCATCACCCATGTTGACCATAAATCTTTCAACTCTTTTATCAGTGGTTGTAGAAAAACGTCGAGAGATCTTTTTGGATGTTTTGGACCAGATATTACTATGGTCATGAATACAAACTCTCGTCGCATGTACATCTCTGGTGGCAGGTTATACGGTGTAAGAAAGACCGGCCATAATGAATATTGTCTCCCAGACATTCCAAATGGACTAAATCCATCAGTGCATAATCCAAGATACAAATTCTGGCTATTGCTAGCGAAATGTGGATGTACATTGCTAAAATGTTTCCAGGCTCTTGCATCTGATGGATGAGTCATCTCTCCATCCGTCTGAGTATGCTCGGAGTGCCATCTCATCCCTCCAGCAGTCTCCTCAGATTGGTACAATCTTTTCAATCTGTCTGTGATTGGTAGGTACCACATCCTTTGGTACGGTACCCTATTACGTCCTCGGCTTTGCGGTTTGAATCGTGGCTTCTTACAAAATCGACATTCTTCTAACTTCTCATCATCTCTCCAGTAAATCATGCAGTTGTCGATGCAAACGTCTATCATCTCCAAGGGCAACCCAAGACTATATACCAATTTCTGAATCTGATAATAAGATTCAGCAGACACATTGTCTTCTGGCAAATACTCTTTAAACAAGTCTGCCCATGCATCCATACAATTTTCAGGTAGATTGTGATCGGTTTTAATACTCATCATTCTACCAGCCAACGACAATTTAGATAGACCTTCTCTACAACCACTGTAAACTGGCTCATTCGCAGCTTCTAACATTTCATAAAACTTTTTTGCATCTAAGTTAGGTTCTTCAACTTCATCATCATCATGAGTTACAAATGCATCACCTACCATATCATGAACCCTATCACAATCTACCATTTGTTCCTCTTGGTGATGATAGCTATTTTCATTACGCAAATGATCAACCGGTTCAACCTGAAAATTGCTANCAGCTTCTAACATTTCATAAAACTTTTTTGCATCTAAGTTAGGTTCTTCAACTTCATCATCATCATGAGTTACAAATGCATCACCTACCATATCATGAACCCTATCACAATCTACCATTTGTTCCTCTTGGTGATGATAGCTATTTTCATTACGCAAATGATCAACCGGTTCAACCTGAAAATTGCTATTACTACTGCTCCCTTATTCCTACAACTAGCATCTTCTCCATGTTGATACCAAATATAATAACATGGCATGAAACCTCTATTTATTAAATGCTTCCAAACATTTTCAAGAGGGCCTAATTTTGTATTGCAGCATTTCCGACAAGGACAAAACATCTTACCACTTTCTTGCGTGAGTGGTGTAGAATATACTTGATGCATAAACGGTGGTATTTATAGAAATTTTCGAATCTGAGCATTTACTAGGAAATTGCTAGGAAAAGTAGGTATAAAACACGTTTTGGATTTAAATTAGATATTTTCTATCAAGTTCCTCACTAATTTGAAGTAAAAGATTATTTTCTCCTAATTTCGTAGTAAAGATTTACTACGACTTTACGAGGAAAGCATTTACTACGAGATTACGAGAAAATGGTCCTTTTCCACGTAGTTTCCTCTTAAGTTTACTACGGTCTTACGAGGAAAACTTTTTCTCGTAACTTTACGAGGACTTTACGAGGAAACTTGTTTTCCTTGTAAAACCGAAGTAAGTTCGTAGTAAATTTACGAGAAATTATTTTCCTAGTAAAATTTCCTAGTAAATTCTTAGTTTTCTTGTAGTGTTGCTCTAAGGCCTTCTGCCATGTAAGCACCTAGCCGTTAGATGGGACTGCCTGAAACAGACACCATTTGTTCCAAAACATCGATGAAACCACACGCTGTAGCGACATCCCCTTCATCAACCGCCCTGGCGGCTTCCACCAGCTGCGGAGTCAATGCCAAGAGCTCATCCCAGTTCCAGGACTTCCCAGCAGCGGTGCTGAAGCCTGAGTACTCTTCAACCTTGAGATCACCACTCAGCAGCGAGACCTCAAGCTTCTTAATCTTACTCTTGAACCCAGCTTCATCATAGACGTAGGAAGACGCGGGAGATCCTTAGACGTTTTCAGGGGAAGGATGGAGATCCGAGATGCAAGATGTGGTGCTCACAGAAGGGGAGTCATAGGAAGCAGTGGAGTATTCAAGCGTGAAGAAACTTTCTTTGGATGGGGTATCAGAGAAGCCATTCCTTCTGTCTATTACTTGGAACTGGGGTGAAGAGTAGACTTGAGGATACAGAATTTGCAGTCCAGCCACACTGTGATGTTTTTGAGACGTTTGCATTGGTAGAAAAAACTGAGCAGTATGCACACTTTGTTCGAACTGACCTGCCTCCATGGAAAGTAAGAGAAGAACATGTGAGCTACAGCAGAGTAAAGCAACTAAATACAAACACTTTGATTCCAAAAACGCGTCCTTGTGAACAATGCTGTAGAAAAACTCAAACATATGCGACAAAAGTGTACTCAAAATCATTTCTGCTAAGTCAGCTCACAAGTCACAATCAATCACATGGATCATCAGAAAACAGATCTAACATAACAACTTCAGGAACCAAAGACTCCTATTACCAAAAAAATAAATAGAAGCTTTCCACTATCTTTCTAGCTACAGAAACCACATATGTTCCAAGGTTGGAGTCAAACCCTAAATCAGGATTCAACTTTAGGATTAAAAAGATTAAAATTCATGACTTTTATACAATTCATTAGTAAAAAAATTTGGTAAGACAAATTGATTTTAACTAAAACCCTAATAAAAAAAAATCAAACAATCAAACCCCTATGATCAAAGGCATAAAAACCCGAGTTACATTAGATAAGCATACAGTTTCACTAATGGAAGAAACAAAAGAAGCAATTTTTAAATACAAAAACAAATGAAATTGAATAATTTCACATTACAAAAGGAGAGAGAAAGAGAGTAAGTGCATAGAACATCAGGAAAGCTAACCTTTAAGGAGAGAATCTGAAGGGGTTTTGTTGAAAAGGGACAAAGGGAAGAAGAAGGCTTCCTTGTAGGCCTGGGCATTTTACCCGGACCCGAAGACCCGAACCGGAACAGACCCGAAAATACAGGTTCGGGTCCGGGTCCGGGTCCATGCTGAAGTACCTATTGGGTCCTTTTTTTTTGGACCCGCGGGTCTCGGGTCGGGTCCGGGTCCTACCCGAGACCCGTTCGGGTACCCATAGTACCCGTAAATTATTGCATATATAAGGTATATTTAGGTATTTGGGTATATTTTTGGTATTTCGGGTATTTTTAAAATTTTCGGATTCGGGTTTTCGGGTATAATTTTAGGTTTCGGGTAAAATTTTAGATTTTCAGAAAATATAATTCGGGTATTTGGGTAAAATTTCGGGTATTTTTTGGGTTTTCGGGTCTGATTTTTTATAATTTTTAGATATATTCGGGTATTTCGGCGGTTCTTCGGGTAATTTTCGGGTTTTCGGGTCTACTTTGGTTATTTGGGTCCTTTTCGGGTCCTAAATACCCGAACCGACCCGGATCCGAAGTATACCCGAAAATTATGGGTATTTTACGGGTATTGAAATTATAGACCCGAACCGACCCGGACCCGACAAGACCCGACCCGGAACCGACCCGAAAAGTTATAGGTACCTATATGGGTCCAAATTTTCAGGACCCGAAAGACCCGGACCCGACAAGACCTGACCCGAACCCGACCCGAGGACCCGGATGCTCAGGCCTACTTCCTTGCATACTCAAGAATCAGCTGCTTGATAAGGAAGAAGAAGATGAAAGAAAGATATAAAAATGCAAATTTTCATCTCTTATACTTATTATATATACCCTATTGCTCCTATTATTTACATTAAATGCCACTTTAACCTTTTACCTTTGACATTTTTGGACGGCAGTATATTCCCTACTCTTGTCAGTTCTGTCATGTAACATTTTCCATGGTTAATTTAATCAAAAGCAATAGCCAACCAAAGATGTAAAATTCAAAGAGATGGATGATTACTTTATTTAATAGACTAATTACAATGGTGTGTTGAACAGTTACATGTTGCAATGAGGATACTTAATAATGTGTTGAAAATGATTTGGCATTCAATTAGTTTAAAAAACTAAACATGTTGAATCTGGTTGAAGGAAAGAAAGATTGTAGAAATGGGCTCTTCCCGTTGGTCAAGATAAAAATGTCTGTCGGTCACATTTTTTTTAATTAATTGTATTGATTTTTTCTCTCTTCTATAATATTTGACTTAATTGTTGTATATTAAATTATGTAATTTAAAAAAGAATTATATTAAAATTTATCATTTTCATACTCTATTAAATAAAGACTTAATTCATTAGATTTGAATACCAAAAAAAATTATCTTTAGCCTCTCATAAGTGATATTTTTTTTATATTTCTCTCCTTTATAATAAGTGATATTTTTATATAGTTTGTAAGGACTGTAATTTAATTTAAACTAATAATTATTATTAATGTGTAATTATGAAACCAAAAATACATAACAAAACAAAATATGAAAATAAAAGTAGTAGGGTAGAATGTTGAATTTATTAAAAAAACTATTGTAAAGTAAAAATAATGAATGGATGTTGAATTGTTAAATGGAAGAACGAAAAATGATGTGAAGAAAAGAGAAGATGATGAGAAGGTTGTTGTGTGTTGAAACTATTGTATATAGTCTTAGATTAGAGTATCTCTAATACCAATTTATAATTTACTATAAAATTAAATTTGGAGTAAAAAAACTGATCCAAACATTTCATTTTTCATTTTATAATAAAATAAAAATGGATTTACAACATAAATATAATATTCTTTATGATCTTTTATTCATTGCTCCATTTTCACTCAGTTTTAGTAAATTCAAATCTATTATAAAATTAATTCATTTCAAATGAAATTTTACATTAGAGATGCTTGATAAAATTACAGATTTATTATCGATGGTGGCATGGCAACTTGTTGCGTTTAGTATTTTGGAACATATATAGATGCTATTTGAGTTTCGTATAACATACTACTAGGATAAGACCCGCGCCTTGCGCGGGATGAAGCTATTATTTTTATTATGTTTTGAAAAATGAAACAATAGTTCGGTTTCATTCGGATTAGAGGTGTTCAATCCGGATATCGGGTTTCGGTTCGGCTCGATTTTTTGGTATTTCGGTTATTAAAATATAACTACTATTCTAAATCTATATGTACTTCAGTTTGGTTTGGTTTATATACCATCGGTTTTCAGTTTATTCATTTTTATACCAAAAACATGATTATTTAGTTTGAGATCATATTATATATTATACAAATATATAATATGATCATATTTAGAGTTATATTGTCACAGAGTCATTTATTAAAAAAAATATTATATATTTAAATAAAAGAATAAAAAACTAAAAAGACTTCTATCATCTAATAAAATGATCAAAGAATTAATATCAAAACACTAAATTTTGAAAATAAAAATAAAAAACAAAACAGAAGCATGAAAGACAAGTTTTTATATGCTTCCATATTTAGTATTCATCAAACCAATATGTCTTCGATTGAATACAACTCTGTTTGTTTAAAGATAAAAAAAAGTTGTAAAGAATTTCAACTAATTGTTGTCTTCAAATTTATAATCTTTACTTCAATTTAGTTACTGTTAAAAAGGAAAAAGATCAAAATAAGAAGTCTAAGTTGTAATAAATTGTTAGCTATTTACAAATTATAATTATAGTTCAACTCATGTAACAAACAGATATTAATGCGTCGTTATAAATATATACATATTTACATGTTTCAGTTTAATCAGTTATAAATCATATCATATCCAAATCCTATGGTTTTTATAAAATCACATCCATTCGGTTTGTATGTTATATACCAAAAATAACCATATTATCGATTGTTAATATCTTTTAAAAATATAAAATTAAAAAAAGAACTAACATATTTAAATCATTGATAACAAAAATTTTCAATGTGAAAATTTAATAATTTTATAATTTATAAATGTTCTTGAAAATTTATTGAGGATTTTGAAATTAAAATATAATTGTAATCTTATATGGTATATAGTTTAATCTGTATATATATTTGTTTTATTATTAAATGATACTTTTTACTTATATAGTTTTAAAATCATGTATATCTTTTTATAATAAAAATTTAAAACTATTGATCATTAATTTTTAACATAATAATTTTAATAGTTTAGTTATTTATTCTCGTTTTTTTTTAAATTCAAAATATAACCTATACGAAAAAATCTAAAGTTTAAATTTATACCTAATTTGATTGCTTAACTTATTTTAATAATATAAAATTAAAGAAAAATGATGGAGGATATATAAACTGTTATCAAATATTTATTATTAGAATCATTAAGTGTCATATATATATATTAGTCATTTATGGTAATTCCGTAAGTTTTATTTATGGAAATAAAATAAAATAGTAATATCTCTAGGGGAACAATCATAAATGCTTCTATCATAAATATCATATCATATCATCATATCATATAATTTGACCAACGTATGTATCTAGCGAAATATAAAAATCGAATGTGGACCTACTTATTTTTCAATTGAATGTAATTGACTACCTAATTGAGTGACACCTAAGCATGAGGTCTTTTTTAATTATTACAAAATTGAGGTTATAATTTTTTAAATGTTTCTCCTTTAATATATAAGGGATATTCATATTAAAGAGGATTTAAACTATCATCTTATTAACTAAAATTTATGCTTCGTATGTCGTGTTCTTTTCAAATGTATGATAATTTTGGTAATGCTGTTCTAAATTGACAGCTTGTTATTTTAATTAAATAACATTTATAAGGATGAGAGCGACATTTATTTGTTCAAACGTATCGATATCCTAGTTTTACAAGAAACAAGATAATTATCCGCGCTACGAAGCGGACTGAATTAATACAAACTAACTTTTACTTGTAAATTTATGTTATGTTATTAATAATAAATTTATAAATTGTTTATTTAAAATAAAAAATACTTTAATTATAGCTTTAAAATATAAATTATTTGAAATTAGTAAATGTTTGAAGATATTTTCATAAAACATTTTACATTTTAATATGTAAATGATTTATAATTTCCAAATCTTATTCTTTAATAGAAGAATCAAATGAAAATAGAATGTTATCATAGTGGTGATTAAAAAGAACTTTTTATGAATGCAACTATTTTTTAAGATTAGGAAAACTTTTTTGAACTCAATTTAATATATATTCAAGAATTTGTCTCCCTCTATTTATTTTCTAACTTCAAATTTTATTTAAAATCTAGATATAAATAAATAAATACTAAATTTATAGAAACCCTCTGTATTTTTGATGTGAAATGTGAATAATACTAATAGAGGTTGAAACGTTATAAGATTAAAACAATACACATTAAACATTTTCTACAAGCAAAATTTATAATTTGAACAGGTTATGATAAACAAA